TGCGCATCTGCGGCTGGAGCGCTCCAAAATAGCCATCTAAAACAAATGAAACGTATTTTATTAACTTGAAGTGTAGTAAACACTCACACTAGAATTAGAATTTTAGCAATTACCAGGATGTGTCGTCTGCGTTGTCGTAATCGCAGCAATTTGTTGTGCTGCTTCACAATGGCTTCCTGCATGCCTTGGCGACGCTTTGCAGATTTACTCCTCCTCTCATCCCTCCTCAGCTGGCGAAGGTGATGCCTTTTGGCCTGTCTAGCGCAGAGTCTGGCCCCCAAAACGAGCCACAAGCGCAGAACCAAGAAAAATAACACCACAAAGTTCTCCATTGTTTACAACACTACACACATATCAACACACGGCGGCTCAAATGGTCGCTGATAAATGACATCACTGACATCTTTGAGCCAATTTCTCATTCCGATTTCTGGAGATCGCCCGCATGCTCAGTCATGTCCGCATTCCAGAGCAGGGACGTGAGGAAGGTGAGGAATCACGGGGGGGTGGGGGGTGGGGGGTTGGGGGGGTGGGTTGGCGGCTGGGGCTGCCCGGGCCGTGCGCAGCAGGTACGAGTGGAAATTTGACATTTTATGACCCAGTTTGGTCCCAGTTTCAGCTGTCATACAGATGCCTTCAGATTTGACTCAAGAACACTTTAGAATACAGGTAGAATAGAATAGAATAGAATAGAATAGACTTTATTAATCCCAAAATGGGGAAATTCACTTGCTACAGCAGCACATACACTTTAGTCCACAGAGGCATTCATAGTTGACTTGATGTCTGTAAGGTGCCCGAATCGTTACCCTTCCAGCACCGTGCTGACAGCTGGTATGAGGTGTTTGTGCTGATTTGTTGTGGTATGCTTCAAACATGGTGCTGGGCATTATAAGTGAACATCTTTACTTTTGTCTTATGTGTTCAAAATGAAATGATCTAGAAGTCTTGTGGTTCATCCGAATGCAGATATCCTGAGTCAAGCTGTCACGTTCTGCCCAGATATGTTAATGCATGCAACTCCCCAAACAAGCCATACATGTTATGCAAGCCATACATGGGCTGCATGGTGGCGCAGTGGTTAGCACTGTTGCCTCGCAGCACGAAGGTCGCAGGTTTGAAACTCGGCTGCGGCCTTTCTGCGTGGAGTTGCGTGTTCTCCCCATGCATGCGTGGGTTTCCTCCGGGTACTCTGGTTTTCCCCACGGATACAACATGCCCTATAGAATATAAATTGTAAGTCGCTTTGGTGAAAAGCGTCTGCCAAATAAATAAACATAAACATGTTGAAACATCATGGCTTTGACCTTTAATTTACTAACTGAGACCTGTTGAGTTGGATGGATCTCTTGTCTCCCCTTGGCTGCAACCAAAAACAAGGTCATCGATCTGATGATGTCTCTCTGTCGGAGCGCCAGATTACCCGAAATCACAGCATTTTTGCCGTTTTTAAAGTGAAAACACAAAATATTTATAAGTATGCAAAAACAGTTATGAAACAAACTGCTAATACAAGTTTTTAGTAGCAAGATGAAGTTAAACTTGTCAGTCGGAAGTCGCTTCAGTTGAAAGTTATCGCCTGTCTTTCTGTAAGGCTGCATCCATCAAACTCTTCTGACTGTCTGAAGTGGTGTCGGCTACTCAAACAGCACAATCAGCTCTCCAATCACGGCTTCTTAACACAGCAAACAACCTCAACATCTCCTTATTTAAAGATATCATCTCAAATGTTTGGGCCACAAACTGTGACACTTTAATCTGGAGATTTTATTATGGATTTGCTCTGAGCTGCAAAAAATGGGGGAGATTTTGTCAGTAACAAAAGACGTGATATACAGCAAATGATCAGATAACACAACTGTCTCTGGGCAGTTACAGATGGAGGGAACACCATGTGACAGCTCTGCTTTCTATCTGAAGGCCACAAAATCATAAACCTTAAAATAAAATGAAAAGAAAATTCAAAGGAAAATACAAAACAGTTGAATTTCTGATGCCAAGGCAAACATCACTTTGATTTGCACATTGCACCTTATTTACTTGAAAAACAGTATAGCTCACAACATATGACAAAGCATTTATTACTAGGGATTGTGTCGTGATGAGTTTGATTTTGATGCTGAATTAACCTGTAGAAAACAACATGGACTGGTTCAGATTTTTAGGTGATGCATCAGAAGAAACCAAACAGCAGATGTGACTTAAATCAATGCACAAATAAGCAGAATTTGTTTTTTTAATCGACTGAGTGAAACTCTGTCAGGCAAAAAAGCTCCAGATGAACTGATGACAGCTGTGGAATTAATACAGATTCCTCTGTTTTAGATTTGAAAACTGGCTCGCTAGCCCTTGACTTGACTGGGGGGTCTTAGCACACCTCTGTTGTTGCTTGGCTTCCCGAGGCTGGAGGCCAGAAGGGGGAGCTGGCCATCTGGTTGGGGTCTGGGGTGGTGGGTTGCTTTGCTCAGCGTTGGGCAGGGGTGCCTGCTCATCATCACCCCAGCAGAAAGGGGCGAACTCTGGTGACCGGTGATGGTTGTGCCCTTTGTGCAGCAGTACCGGGGCCAGAGTGAATAGGGTGTGTATGGGGAGCATGAGTGGGTGTCTAGCATTCATTTTTGTAAGTCTTAGGTTTTATGTGTCTGTGTGAGCATGAGGGAGGGAGTGTGTGACTGTGTCTGTGTGTGACTGTTTATGTCAGGTGGTGTCTGGGACTCCTCCCCTCACCTGGGACTTATTGTGTTACTACACATCTTCGCCTGCCCTCCCCCTGCCACATTTGGTGCTGAGTGTGGTGCCTTGGTCAGCCCGAGTGTTCACGGCTCCCATGTCGAGGGGTTTAAGATTTTCGGCATCTGTCTGACTGATCCCAGTGGCTGCCTGGTGGAATCTGTGTCCCTGGGCTCTGTTGGGTCCCGGGCTGCTGGGATCCAGGCTTGGCAGACTTGGGAGACTGCAGGCGGGCCTGTGGGCTTGCCACTGGCGTCTGCTGGGACTCTGTGACCCCTCGGGGCAATCCTCTCGAGAGGGGGCTGGGGCTTTTCTGGTTACAGTCTCCCTGGGTCCCTGTGCTCTGGGGCAACTCCTGGATCTCTGGAACTTGGAGCTCCCTCCATCTCCTGCACATCTTTGGGGAGCAGATCTGTGGCCCCTCACACTCTATTGGACGCTCCTATAGTGAAACCTTACACATACAAGCGCGTGAGCACACACAGGTGCTCACATGGTGCTCTCATAAGTATAGACTTGGGCATTTTCAACACTTGTCTTAAGGCTATGGTTGGCACTTAATGCACTGTGATTTATTATCATGTGACTGTTCAGCAAAACAATGTTGATTTCATATTTCCTCATGAGGTTGACGCAGTGATAGCTTGCTCCTGTTGTATTGTTGTGTGTCCCTTTTTTCTCTCTCTCTCTTTCTGCAGGTTGAGAAGCATATTCTTGTTCATCATTGATTGTTTATTTTTGTGGAACCCCCCTCCACCTCTTCCTTTTGTCTCTTCCTTTCTCTTTCACCTCTGTCTCCGTGTCTGGTCAGAATTAAAAAGCATCCAGAAACACTAACAATAAAGTTTTTAGTATCAGGCGTGACATTAAAGCAGAAGCTTTGATATTCCACCTGAGATTAAATCTGTAAGGCTTGTCACCAACATTCAGACATCAATTCTGTTTGCTTCACAACCGGAAAGGATACGGGAAAAAATAAGTCTTTAGAGCCCACGCCCAATAAAAAACATGAATAAATAAAAAAGAATAGAAAAAATAAAATAAAGAAGTAAAAATAATTTTTGACATAGGATGTCACTTGAGGTTGTCAAACTTGAAAATATGACTCAAGAAACACTTTAGCAGATTGAAATAGGCTGACACCACATGTCCTTAAGGGTTAAACTGGTCAAGTTTGCACTTTGCTCCTTGTTACACAGTTTGTGAAAATTTTTGAGTATTTATTGCATCAGTTCGCATCCGGTTCCTCCTTGTGTTTTATTTTCCTTAATTTCAGGTCACACCTGTCCTTCATCAGCCAATCACCCATCTCTCTTCTGTTCATCCTTGTTTCCTTTTATCTAATTATAAGATCACTTTGTTACAGTCCCTTTTTCCTCCGGATTGGGTTTTGTTTTGCCTCCATGTGACCTTCTTAAAAAGAAAAAATAACGTTAAATTCTTCCAGTCTGGCAAATTTTTTTTGCTTCTTCTTTTTTTTAATAGATAAATTAGAAAAGTATTTCAGAAAATATTAACTTTTTGAAGTCACATTAAACCTGTAGGACACAAATTAAAGTAATTACTATGTAACTTTAGCTTCCATCTGTTTTTTTTTTAAAGTTTTGCAAAGATTAAAAACTGAGTTTAAAAGAACAAAATCCAGAATGTGAAAGAAGAAGTGAGGGAAACTGGTGAGAATGCTGTAATGAAGAAAAGAGAACAGCAAATAAAAATTTGCAGGAAAAACCTACTTTATTTTAGCTGGTAAGTCATTTTTTGTGTTGCGCTTATGCTTGGAGCATTATAGCGTTTTCCAAAGCAGCATTCTGGCAATTCCATTTCTGTTTATTTCTAAAAACAAAAACAAAGAAAGTTTAATTTCAAGTTCTAATTAAAACCCACATCAAATAATACAGCAGACATTAGGTGCACCTCTCAGTATGAGTCCAGCTTTGTGTTGTTATCTAAACAATAATGTGCACCCTGGGCTTTAACTAGCAGTGCCCTGTGGAGCAGAGCGGCCTCTTGCAGCTCTATCTGCCCATCTAAATGGCACAATGAAACACGGGGAGATGAAAGATGATGAGACGCTCTTTGAACAGGTGCAAATGCTGGCTGCAGGGACCGTGGGACAGACTCCAAACGGGTATAAAAGCTTTTAATGTGTTATGAAATGCAAACAAGCAGGAGGTGTGACCCTGGAAATGGGAACAGATGGAAAAGCCACCTATATTTTCCAGTTATGATTGCATTGCACTGATTTAATAGATTTTTCTTTGTGTTTTCAGCGATAAACGATTTTCAGCATTGGGGTTTGGTGCCAGAATCCCTCCAAATTATGAGGTGAGTGTTTCTGGTCTGGTTTTGTGATTTAATATTATTTCCTGCCACTGAACTCGGCATTGACGTGAACATTTGCAGACTGTGTGTTTATTTGTGCTCTCTCTCTCTCTCGCTCTCTCTTTCTCTCGCTCTCTCACTCTCTGGGGCTCGGTATTTTCCAGATACCAAGCAAGGAGATTTCCATGTCCCACTCTACCACGCATGCATTTGTCATTCTGTCAAACTTTCACATTTAAAGTTAATTACCAAGTGTATTTTTATTCACAAGTGCCTTGTCCCAAAATACCAACTTGTCTTGAGTAAATACCACGTTCTGCTGAAAACGAAGTTGCAGACTGTTGAGTTGACGCTCGCTTTACATAAGATGCATGCATTTGTTTTAGTAAATTGGACTTTAAAAACTGAAAGCTCTCACTGACTCCTATTAGCACCCTGGGGAGAAGTCTGAGCTGCGAGGAGCGGCCGTGCACGAGTGTGTGCACACGCAAACACACACAGATGAGAACACCACTCGATAATGCATCAAACAGGAGCGGTCTGTGTTTAATGCAACTCCGTAATGTGCTGTGTGTCGGCGTGAAACACTGATAATTATCATTTCAATCATGCAAAGATTAGCTGCACAGTTAATTCATGTTCTGTACTTCAGAATTTACCGTGACAGTGATTGCCTTGTAGGGGTCAAATTTATCTCACTATGAGCTGGTGACACGTTGAAGTTGCTGTTTCAGCTGAATGTTAATTAACTCATTATACTAATCATGAACTGTGCTATGAACTAGAAAGCTACAGGCTCTGCTGCAACATGCTTACATGTTTGACAAATTAATCTCAGAGATTATGAGTTATACCTCATATTAACAAAAAATAAATTAAATAAAAAGAGGTAACCTGAAAGCCCAGAAAGAGGCTCGTTGGTAAAAAAAAATACAATTATCCCTTGAGCTGCCCATTTTGTTTCTAACCTTTCAAATTTACAGCTAAATAAGATTAAGTAAAAAAATTGCATTGAAAATCAATTGAACTCTTCTTATTTTCACATTTGCCCCCGTTTTCAAGTGCTCGTGGTTTTGTTAAATATCATTAAGCAGATGCATCTACAGTAGCAAAAGTTGTGCTTGATCACTGATAAATTATTCATTGCAACCGGAATACAATCATGAAATTCTTAAAACTATACTCTGATTCGATCACGTGATCGGAAGTTGGCCCCGATCATGCAATTTTCAAAGGATCAGAATCAGGTGAATTAACCATTTAAAACAACAAACATGACTTTTTAAAATCATCCTAAAATAGAGACTTTCAAACAGAAAACCAATGGCTTACTTTTAAGGGTGAGTGGTATGGAAAAAAAATCATAACACCATTTTGTTTTTGCAAAATCCCAATCCCGATTTTATCAAGATTATTTTTCAATTTCTACAATTCAGATGTTTTAGAAGTTATTTACCAGTGAAATACATCAATTTAAAAGCATACTACTTCACACAAAATAGAATAAAATATTTCAAAATCCTAAAAAATAGATCTATCTATCTATCTATCTATCTATCTATCTATCTATCTATCTATCTATCTATCTATCTATCTATCTATCTATCTATCTATCTATCTATCTATCTATCTATCTATCTATCTATCTATCTATCATCTATCTATCTATCTATCTATCTATCTATCTATCTATCTATCTATCTATCTATCTATCTATCTATCTATCTATCTATCTATCTATCTATCTATCTATCTATCTATCTATCTATCTATCTATCTATCTATCTATCTATCTATCTATCTATCTATCTATCTATCTATCTATCTATCTATCTATCTATCTATCTATCTATCTATCTATCTATCTATCATCTATCTGTCTGTCTGTCTGTCTGTCTATCCATCCATCCATCCATCCATCCATCCATCCACAGTTGAGAGCTAGAGACATGTCTCAAATGTGCGCCCATAGATGCGTCCAGAAAGAATAGCACTGGTGACTAAACGCAAATAGATGGTTCTAGGATCTCCGAGCTTTGGTAGATTTGTAATATTAAAGGTGTGATTGACTGAAAAACCATTTTAAAATGATTATTTCTGATTATAATCCATCGCTCTGTGTTTTTCATGTAGGCTGATTATGAAAATATTCTCCTACACCTATCTCCTGCACTAATTTCTGATGAAAAATAGACGATCAAAATCTAGGATTTGAAAATCCTCACAGATCTATCACACTGAATTGGGTTAGGGGACTCACCAATCTTGATTCACTGCGGGGAAGACTGTTGTTGTTTTAACATCCAGGAATCAACAGCGGATGTCTCGGCTAGCTTAAGCAGGGTATCCGCGGGTCCTTAAAAAGTCCAAATTTAAAGCCATAAAATTCCTTAAAAATTACAAATAATCATTAAATACAGTTTCCAAAGGTCTTAAATTACCAAAGACCCAATAAACAAGATTATGTTATTTCTATAAAAATTTTGTGAATTTCTAGTTAGTGTTCAGCAATTTTTGTGTATGAAATTTGCAAAATCAAAACCGTATACATTCAGTTGGTTGTGAAAGGGGGCTATTTTTAGACGAGCACATTAGCTGGTTAAGCTAGTGGGAGCTTGCGCCATGGGGAAGTGCACATTTAATGGTAACTGGATGGCTAATCTCACGTTCTTTAAAATTCTATCTGTCCACAGTTGAGAGCTAGAGACATTTCTCAAATGTCCCACAGCTGCTTTCATTTAATTATATATATTTATAATTAATGTATAATTATTTAAATTTTATCTAGCGGTGACTCATATCCTATCATCCAAAATATTACCAGAAATTATGTCTTGTCCAGAGAAAAAAATCTATCATGTTAAGCTAAATTCATGATGCATCCTCTGGTCAGGATTACACTCCCGCTAATTGGGCCTCACCGTTCTCCGTAGCTGTTATGTTAAGGGAGACAAGGCAGGTTTGGCTTGTTTTTGACACCCATAGTCTCTGTTTAACCGAGAGCAAAACTTATCTCCTGTCTGTTCGAAATGTCTCCCCAGCCATCATTAGCATCTACAGAAAGGATTCATCACTAAATCAAACACATCAGATGTGTTAATGATCTAAAACATGCAGAAAACATGCTAGAAGCCAACTGCAAAAAAATGTGAACATCCCTACTTTAAACAGTCGTTAAATACATCTGCGGATATCAAACTGCTCACTCATTTATGTACGCACTCATGCAAATTAATTTTGGTGACCAAGGCAACACAAATGCAGCAGGTGTATAATTTTACCTGATTGAAATACTGTAGATAAAAGCAAACTGATAAACTGTGTTGTGGTTTCAGTTTGAGCTTTTTCTCTTCTTGATTGGTTTTGGCAGCAGTAAGTTTAATTTACATGATTTAGTTTAGAACAGATGTCATCTTAAATCACTTTGCAAAGTTACAGTCTATCTATTCAATTGAATGAAAATAATTTGATTTGTGAGAATAAATGCAGAAATGTGTTGTATCAAGGGGTCAGCAGCTAAACACGCTGTTAGCTTTCACACAAATTATGAAAAATGGATCAACCCAGTGTCAAAACCAGCTTCTCATTATGTTTAGTTTCTCAACAGCTTCTCAAAATTTTTATATATTTTTTTCTTTTAAAGCACCAGCTGGAGACGAGTCAGTTGTCACTGATCTAGCTGACAGTTGGTGTATGTAGAATCAGCAAGACCGGAGGGGTTGCCAATTAAACAGTAAAGTGATAAACACATTCTAACTGATGTTTGGACGGCAAGAACAGACCAGGTGACTAAAAAAATAAATACAACTGGAAGAAACTAAAGTAAACATGAGACAGTTGTATTGTTGTATGAATTCTTTTTGTTTTTCTTTGCTTAAAAGTTCTTCTAAATCTTAAAATGTGCTGAATATGAAAAAATATTTAAATTACTGCCGGGGCCACAAAAAATGTTACCACCAAAAAAAGAGTCACTCTAATATTTCATTGAATCGCCTTTAACTTTAATTATGGCATGCATTTGCTGTGTTGTTGTTTCGATAAGCTTCTACAATTTCACAAGATTTATTTCCGTCCAGTGTTGCACGAGTATATTCCAAAATGACAATACCAGGATTCATCAGGCTCAAACGGTGAAAGAGTGGATCAGGGAGCATGAGGCATCATTTTCACACATGGATTGACCACCACAGAATCCAGACCTTAACTCCATTGAGAAGGCTTTGTGCAGCAGTCAGACTCTACCATCATCAATGGCCGTGTTTTCATTAGCAGGAACTTCAGCATAAATTCTGGGAGGGGGAATTGAGAGGGAGATACAATGGCTCATTCCTCTCAACTGTTGTGTCTCCATTCGAATTGAGTCCCTTTCAGGATGTTGCACAGACATCAGCATTTCGCAACTGCTTCGGTATGGATTGATTTCACTGATCAGCACCAAATAGCATCCACAGTAACATTATTACCATTAAAGGTTTTATTATGTCAAAGTATTTCATAATTTGATCCATTCGGAGCACAGAGCACCTGCGTTATGTAAAATGTGGCATTCCATGACCAGAAGAAGATCTGTTTTTTATGGCACTCTCTGAAACAAAGCCCCATTAATTACGTCACTGTGGGGGAATTTCCTTGTGTTTTCTGGTGTCAGGAGTTTAATAAAGACCGTTTAAAAACAGTGCTTATTTTCTATTGCTTCCATTTCTGCTTCACAAGCAACTCTTTTATTTTTACAAATGCTGTTTGCTTAAAACAGTATCTGCGGATGCAATTTCCTACTGAGCTTCAATCAATCAGCATGAGCTAACCAAAAGTTCTGCTCAGCTATTCCGCCAGGCCATTCCGAGTACCTAACCCTGATCAGGTACTCAGAAACATCTTTTGTATATTCATTCTGTGTTTTTCTTCTAAACGCTTTTTTAAGTATTTTTTTTGTACACAGGAACTTTTTTTTAACTTTGCTAACAGTTTTGATCTTCTTCAGAGGTAGCCGCTAATGACGGCGTCACTTCCTTCTCCGTGGGCAACAGAGGACAGTGTCGCCTTCCGCTGCCCACGCTCTTCTCACCAATGACACAGTTCCATGCATGATGCAGACCCCCTCGTCTCTGTTCATGGTTCTGCGCCCATGTCTCCATATTTCTATGGCTTCCTTAATCCATCTTTTATATTTTTGTTGTTCAGTGGTTATGATCCTGGGCTATACAGGGTTATGGGTTATATCTTTGGGCGACGGTGGCACAGGAGTTAAGTGCTCGCCCCGTAATCGGAAGGTTGCAGGTTCGAGCCCCGCTCAGTCTGTCGCTGTCGTTGTGTACTTGGGCAAGACACTCAACCCACGTTGCCTGCTGGTGGTGGTCGGAGGGACCGGTGGCGCCAGTGCTCGGCAGCCTCGCCTTTGTCAGTGCGCCCCAGGGCAGCTGTGGCTACATTGTAGCTCATCTCCACTAGTGTGTGAATGTGTGTGTGAATGGGTGAATGACTGATTGTGTTGTAAAGCGCCTTGGGGGTTCCAAGACTCTAGAAGGCGCTATATCAAAATACAGGCCATCCTTGTGTTGTCCCAGTCCATTATATGTTTGTTTGTTTGTAAAGCTTGGTTGAGGCGGCAGACCTGCCTATTTAAATAGGTAATTGTATGGTGTATTATATATTTTTGTCATTTGTAAATGTATGTAAATTGTACTAACTATCTGTCTATCTATCTGTCTATCTATCTGTCTATCTGTCTATCTGTCTATCTGTCTATCTGTCTATCTATCTATCTATCTATCTATCTATCTATCTATCTATCTATCTATCTATCTATCTATCATCTATCTATCATCTATCTATCTATCTATCTATCTATCTATCTATCTATCTATCTATCTATCTATCTATCTATCTATCTATCTATCTATCTATCTATCTATCTATCTATCTATCTATCTATCTATCTATCTATCTATCTATCTATCTATCTATCTATCTATCTATCTATCTATCTATCTATCTATCTATCTATCTATCTATCTATCTATCTGGTTTTCGCTTGTGCAGTGAGTGATCTGTTACGGCTAATTTCTTCATTGTGCTTTCTGCTTCTTGTCTTGTTGCTCTTGTGTGTCTTTGGCTTGTTTCTGTCTCACACCCCTTTCTATGTTCTGTTGTTCGTGTGTGAAGTTGGTGTCCGGTTTCTCCTATGTATGTTTTGTTACAAAGTTTGCAGTGTGGGTGCAGGGAGGGTGCTAGTTTAGAAGATGCTCTCTGAAGAGCAGGGTCTTCAGGAGTTTCTTGAAAATTGAAAAGGAAGCCGCAGTTCTGGTAGTGCTCGGAAGGTCATTCCACATTTGTGGAAGGATGCATGATGTTATCATGTTTGCTCAGTGGTATAAGGTATGGTATATGGATTTTTGTTCTAAGTCCTCCACGAAAACCTCGCAGAGGGTGGCTGATAACGGGTTACCCATGGCGAAGCCTTCCAATTGTTAGTATATTATTCCATCATATGTAAAGTATGTGGAGTTAGCTACCAGTTTTATCAGTTGTGCTATGTCATCTGTCTCGGCCCCGCCGCTCCGGTCATCACAGGATCGTCGACTAGCAGTGCCTACACCACACTCAGGACAATCCAGACTCTTCTCGTGCATCGTTCCACAAATGAGGAATGGCCTACCAAGCACTACCAGAACGGGGACTTCCTTTTCAACTTTCAAGAAACTCCTGAAGACCCTGCTCTTTAGAGAGCATCTTCTAAACTAGCACCCTCCCTGCACCCGTCCCCCCTCTCTACTGTCCACTTCTTGTTCCCTCCTCTCCATGATTCATCATGCTGCCTCACTGCCACCTATGACTGACTGGAAATAGTTTGTTGTTGTTGTTGTTATTGTTGTTGTTAGCCTCAAGGGCAACATGCCGATTATCACTTGTAAGTCACTTTGGACAAAAGTGTCTGCTAAATACATAAACATATACATCTGTTGTGAGGTTTTTCCTTTCGTGTAGAGTTTTATCCTGTCTGATTCTGTTTACTGCTGTGTCGGTGCTTTTTTGGGTTGGTGTTTTTGTGAACAGGGATGCAGCGTCGTGTGAGATTATCATGCCATTGTCTTCTATTATAGCCTTTTTTAGTTCTTTTGCCAGTTCTGTGCTCATTTTTGAAATGTTTTAGATAGATGCGATTTTCTGTTATTTAGCCTTTTTCTTGTAGTGGTTTCAGTAATATTTGTCATGTTTTTTTAATGTCTTTTAAAAAAATTTTTTTTGTATATATTTTTGTTCACTAGCATCTGTTCCATCTGTTGATAGATTTTTCTTTGTTGATTATTACTGTCGTTCTTCCTTTGTCTGCCGGTAGAATAATGATGTGTACATTTTTGGATAGTACTGTCATGGCTGTCCTTTCTTCTTTTGTAACTTTACTGTGATGTATTTTGCTGTTCTTTAATATCCCAACTACGTAATTCTGCTTTCGTTCCATCATCTGTGATCTGTTGACATACCATTTCTGTTGCTACATATGGTATATTTTCGGTGTTATTGCAAAGTTTAACTCTCTCAGGCTCAAAATAAGTTTTGATAAAAGGATGAACACCCAAGTCCTTCAGGGGTTCTTCTGAGTTAAAAAATGCTCATGAAATACGTATGTGGAGTAACCAGGTAGGCAGGTTTTAACTGTTGCAAATCTGCAACGCCTGCCTCCAGAGGGTTAATCCTTTTTTTTAATATGCTTTCTTCAGCTTCTGTTAGCGTGTGTTGTGAAATATTAGTATATATAATATATATGAGTTTTGTGTGGTGTTTTTCTTGTTGATGAGTTTGGTTAACTTCTTTATGTGTCTTTCTTTTACTTTTATAAATTTCTTTTCTTGTTGTTCTGTCATGTGTCCTTAATTTGTTCCTCTGTTTTTTCGAGTTTGTAATTCCTTTTTAAGTCCAGGTGTCTTCTTTTCAGTTCGTTTTTCACTTGTTTCTGTTTGGCTGTGATGTTTTTTGTCCTTTCTCTGAGTAGTGCTTTCTGTGTTCTTTCCATAATGTGCTATGCTGTCTATTGGTGTTTTCAGCTGTAGGTTTGTTGGCGTGATGTTTCCGTCTCGGTATCTTTAATTGAAACGAAGGTGGTTCCTTAGACATGCTTGTTTATGATGTAAACATTCCAAACAGTGGAAGTCCTTTGTCCCTCATCATTTCTTAAAACATGTAACATACATAGGAGAAACCGGATGCCAACTCAACACAAGAACAAAAGAGCATAGAGAGGAATGTGAGAAAACACACAAGAGCACCAAGACAAGAAGCAGAAAGCACAAGAAAGAAGTCAGCAGTAACAGACCACTGCACAAGAAAAAAAACATATAATGGACTGGGACAACACAAGGATCATCACCACCAAACAACAAAAATACAAAAGATGGATTAAGGAAGCCATAGAAATATGGAGACGTGGGTGCGGAACCATGAACAGAGATGAGGGGGTCTGCGCATTAGATCATGCATGGAACTGTCATTGGTGAGGAGAGCGCTGAAGAAGATCGCAGGAGCAGGAGTGATTGAAACTGTTAGCAAGGTAAAAAAAATAAATAAAAAAAACCTTTCCTGTGTTTAAAAATATTACCTAAAAAAGAGGTACTCAGAAAGTTCCTGAAAACTCCATTCGGCTGGCCCAGTGACGTGGAGACACCCGAGTTTTTTTAATTTTACACAGAAGATCTGATAGTGAAAATGCACCTAATGCAAGATCTTGGTGAAAATTTAATGCCAATTGTTTGGAAATAAACCTTGTGACATTGTAGAAGCTCATCAAAACAAGGCCACAGCAAAAGCGTGCCATAATCAAAGCTAACGGTGGTCCAACAAAACAGAGTGTGTGCAAAGTGTTCCCTCAATCAAGAAAATACAGGAACTTTTTTTCTCTGTCTTGGTCACAGGTGTCACATGACTTTGCCATTAACTTTAACCCAGATGACGATGAATGTGAAGGTAAGGTGGATCCATAGTTAAATACACATGAAAGTATTACAATGTAAAGTTCTTTAGAGTCTATTTCGATGTTTCCTTCGTTCTGCCGTCTTTGATCAGGCATCCAAGGAGTGGTGGAGGCATACCAGAACTGCCTCCCAAAGATCCAGCTGTACGGCCCAACAAACGTTTCACCCATCATTAACAGGCTAGCCAAGGTGGCAGCAGGCGACGGCAACATTAAAGATGCTTCTGTGAGTCCTCCTTTGGTGTCTCCAGGAAGATCTGGCTGTAACACAAGTGTTGAAATGCTACCATATGCTGTTAAAGCAGATGTGTGCAGGGAATTCCAATTATTTCAATTTTGCTGTTCTGGTGGTTTTATTTTACTCTCTGTTTAGTTTGGTTTTGTTTCACAGAAAGTTATTTTTTGGCATCCTGCACTTGGAAGTGATGTTGGAGTTCATGAGTCCCTTTTTATTTTCCTTAAAGTCTTTTGAAAAAGTAGCACGTTCTAGCTTAAAATGTAAACAAACGGGGTCTGACCTGAAAAAGCGAGCCATGAGAACCAATGGATTCATTTTTATTCTCTGTTCATGCAACTCATTGGGTTAAAAGATTAAACATACACACACACACACACATGCACGCACGCACGCACGCACGCACACACACACACACACACACACGATGGCGATTAAAATAATTTCCCTATTTTAGTGTAAAATCGTATTCAACAGGTAGATTTAAAAAAACGTTTTAGTGTTATAGTTTGGAATTATACATGAACTTGTTTTCCTGGTTCTTTTTACTGATTTTAGATGGTTTTTAAAAAGCTGCATGTCCCCCTAATGCAGCGGGGTAATCAGCTCAATCAGCTGCAGGTGTGTGGAGGGTGTTGGCCTTTATAAGAAGTCCAGTGTAGGAAAATGAGTCATTGTGTCGTCGTAAGCAAACAGCCCTGTGTCTAGGTCTAGCAGGTGGTTTTTACCACCCTGCCAGCGCTGTGTTACAGATGTTTTAGCAGAAACATAATCAATTGAATGAAGTTTTTTGTTGACCTGTAAAGAGTGTGCTACACTTTCTGAAGCTTTAATATTTTAAATCTTCTTTCCTAGTAATCAGCACCTCATTAAGGTTTTCATGCAGCTGTGTTTAGCTTAGGATTAGTGAATTTTCCCAACAATAGTTAAGAAAGTTTTACTTTCTGCAGCATTTTTAAAAATCTGAACCTCAGCTATATCACTTTAAGACTCCTCACATCATACCTTCAGTGTAATGATGACATCATTCAAATGAATGACCAAATCAATTACAGTTACTCTTTATTGTCATAGTTCAGATTAAAACAACACTCTCGTGATAATCTGGATTGTAAAATGACATAAAATCATGCTAAAGATGTTATTCATGGGTTGACACCTGGCTTTGATGTCAAACTGAAATGTCTTGTGATTGAAGCTGAATCTGAACACAGATTAGAGTGTTTTGTTACATTATTTAATGTTCAAACTAAATTTCATTTTGATTTAAAGCCAAACCAAACTGCCTGTTCTTTAGCCTTCATTATGGGTGACTGAAAGCACCTTTTTACTTTTATGTTTGAAGTTTAGGAGTTCTAATGTGAAGATTTTAGACTCCTTGATGCGTTTCCTGTAATTAGTGTTTCTTTTTGACTTTTGTCCAGCCTTTGAGTGTTTTTGCCCCAGGGCGTGTGTATGACAACAGAAGCTCAGCGGAGGCTGTAAAATAATCCAAAATGCCATCAAAGTCTTGCCTCAGATGACAATACACGCTGAGAGATGTCCTTGCTCATGAACACATATTGGTGGTAGAGTAGTTTCACAAAAATTAATTAACACAGTTATTGTCCTCCATGCAGCGATACCACATCCTGCTCATCCTCACAGACGGTGTGGTGACGGACATGGCCGACACGCGTGAAGCCATTGTTCGAGCCTCCTACCAGCCGCTTTCCATCATTATCGTTGGCGTGGGAAACGCAGACTTCACAGACATGCAGATTCTGGATGGAGATGATGGAGTCCTGCGGTCACCGAAGGGTGAACCTGTTCTCAGAGACATCGTGCAGTTTGTGCCATTTAGAGACTTCAAAACGGTCAGTGTTTTTTCTCCATCTGTCACTTGTTCACTATCAATTCACTTTTCAACCTCGTGGCATCTAACTGCTTTGAAGCAATTGAATCGAATTTTTTTTCTGATGCAATACCCGCAGCTAGTATAATTTAGAACAGGGTTATTCAATTCTGGTTCTGGAGAGCCAAGACCATGGTTGCTTCAACACACCTGGTTCAGTGATTGAGTCACCCATCAACATCTCCTCCAGAAGGTTGTTGATCACTTATTGATTCAAACCAGATATTTTGCTGTAGGGAAACATAGAAAACATGCAGGTAGTGTTCCTCAGTCATCAAACATTCATCGAAATATTTTGCTCCATAAACGAAATTTAAAATGTTGGTACGAATGGTCAAAATCCTGTTTTATGAAACTTGCGGTGGCCACTTGTACGCATGTTCCTCCATAGTTGTCTGTAGATATATCCCACCTGTGCATACCCAGGTGCTCGTGTCTGTTCATGGTCACTTACATACAGGAACACCCTCAATTGACCATTTATGGTCACACTATGTCCTCAGTACGTGAAGGGATAGGGAGCCTAAGTCACTTCTGCATCATGGATCCCCAGAAGAACAAAAAAGTGAATGCAAGTCAACGGGGCAAAAAACGCTATTTTCTAACCCGCTTTGCCTTAGGCCCTGGATCGCACATGTGTTGTACTGCAATTTAAATGAAAGGTAATGATGGGTGTTTCGACCATGACAAGTTCGTAATTAGCATGACTACAAACTAAAAATTGGCACGTTGCTTATCAATTCAATTCAGTTCAATTCAAAAATACTTTATGAATCCCAGAGGGAAATTAGAGTTTCAGTACACACAATTCTGAGATCAGACAAACATGCATAGACACATGACAAGAATTGTGACTGTGGTCATTCGCAACCCGAGTCGCGCTACGTAATAGATCAAGAGGGTTTATGTGAGGACAGAGTCAGGGGGAGGGAAAAAAAGTCACTTCAGAGTTACCCTCAACAAAGAGGGCAGCGTTGCTATGCAAAAAAACACCTCAGACAGATATGCTCACAGACTTCAGACATTACACAACAGAAGTGTCCACTAGGTGGGGAGGTAGGGTTGGGACTCTCCTCACTTCAGTGCATGCAGCCGCATGAAGCAGCGCTCATTACCTCCGTTTGGACAGGGGAGGGAGATAATAAGTTAGAGTGCACATTGACTGCTAGATACGGTTCCACGGCCTTCACCGGTTGCAGTCCCGCCCAGGCTGCGATAGGGAGAAAGAGTTTCCATAGCGACGGCAGCACTCCACATTTCTTCTGAGGGGAGTTTACACTTCAGCCTCACAGGCTTCAAGGGCACCAGATTCAGATAAGAATTGTTTGGGGACAGACAGAGATAATTTCCTCTCTGCCTTAGAGTTCTGTTGGTCTTCAACCCCTCTAGATCCAATAATGGTGTAATGAATCTATCCCAATCCGTGCTGATCCGTTAACTCGCTCCTTGATGGAATCCACCTTCTGTGCCAGAGCCTGAATCTCAGCCAAAGGTCCAAGCTGACGACTCATCTCAACAATTATATGAGTTTGTGTGTTCACAGCGCGATGCATTCCATCCCTGAGCTCTGGGATTGAGCCAATATTCCTCGAAAGCTCGTTAATTTTCTGGTAAGCCAGGTAACCGCTCAGGCCAAACAGCAGGAATCCCGACACCAAAACTATGAATATCCAGATGTTAAGTAATTACATGTGGGGTAATATTTAATCTCCATAACCCTGGAACCTGAAATAACACACATGACAATAAGGGAGACATTTTACCCTGAGTCCCCAAAATAATGGAGAGTTAATGCAGGGAAAAACCTCCTCCGAGGCTTTTCCCCCGTCACTCCCAAGTCTCCTCAGTTTCCCAGGGGCTTTATTCAGCAAAAGGATGGGGGAGAAGGCGGGCCTTCTCAGGTTACAGAGGTACAGTTTTCAGTTGGAAACCCACAATCAACATCCTTGCTCAACCTTTCATGAACAGCAACAGTTGGCAAAAACAGAGATTCATTTTGTGTTAATAACACAAAATGAGCATCTTTTAGGCCTCAAAAAGGTACAATTATAAAAATACCCAACACCAGACATCTTCAGAATCCTCTACAGACAGTTGAGAGAGGCATATCAGGTTCCACTGTTTCCAGGAGTCCATGATATACCCAGCTGGCTCTGTCCTAGAGGGACATCCGGGAGCCCCTTCTCCCGTTCTCATCGTTGAAAAAATTTTGCCTTGAGAGACCAACTGACCAGATCCATTTTTAATAATTTCCAGTCTCCAGAAAAAATGTAGAAAGCGCCGTGCACACAAAGACAGGACAAAGAGCCTTGGGATGAGGAGGGAGGGAGGGAGAGGAGAAAAAAAAAGCGTCTGCACTGTCCAAGAGCCGGAAGAAAAAGACGTCACCACATAATCTGCTCTCCCCTAACGTAGCTGCTACTTACCAAATGTGCCAGATTTAGAGTGGCTCTTTCCTTCTGTGGGAAGCTTGCTGAACTTACAGCCATTTCCCCCAGATTTCTCCGTGTCTGGTTCGATGACGTCACTTTCGTGAAGCACATTTGTAGTCCTGGACTTATTTTCACACAAAACCTAAAATATCGTTCCCCCATTCAAAAATAAACACGTCCCTGGTATCAAAATGTGTCTTTAAAATTCACAGACATCACGTGTGAAGTTCATGGCACAAAACAAGCGGAATTAGAAAATAGATTTTTTAGCCTCTTTGACTTGTATTCATTGTTTCATTCTTCCAGTGGCCCATGGTCCGAAAGTGACTTAGGCTCCCTATTCCCTGGGCTTTTCCCGAAAAAAAGAAAAGAAACTTTTATTGACAGCAAGATCAAAGATGCTGGCTGTCGAAGTGCAAAAGAACAAAACAAGTTGCAGAGGTTATAAATGTGGTTGGGACAGAGAGAGGTCCTCGTCAGAAATAAAAAAAAATTTGAATGTGATAAATCGTAGAGGAATGAGTTGTCATTTACATTTGATGAGTCGTTCTGTTTGGAGTTTTATTTGGAAATGTTCGAGAGTGCAGCCTCCTCTGAGCTGTCATTCAGACTTGTTACCTTGGCAACGCGGAGTGCATGATCAGGGAGGGTTCTCATAGTTGTAAAATAAAATATGAACTGGAATCGAATTTGTCTGTCACTCCACAAAGAGTCCCAAATCACAGCATAGCTCCAGAAGGATCTCCTTTAGGAATCAGAGCAGTGCGCTCACGGAGGAAGTGTCCCCTCTGGGCTCGAGTCTCTGCCAAATGCTCCCAATGATGCAAGATCAGTCATGTTACAATGTCTGTCAGTCACAGGTGTCTTTTATAGGTTTTAGCGCCAATTATGTGACACAGCTGTTTTTCCACCTTTTAATTATGTAATGGGTAAAATACTTTATGGATGAGGAACATGTATAGATGACGGAGACATTCAGTATTGTGGTTCCCTCTTCCTACTACTAGAACGTGTGGTTGATTTACCATCCAGGAGAGAGCAGAGAGTGTCTCAGCTAGTAGTAGCTAACCAATAGCATTAGCAGCTCCACCACACAGCTTCAGAATTGAGTTATTTGTTGAGATAAAACATCGACGTTGGAGAGCAAACAGAGTCAGTGGTAGAGTCGCGTTGCTGTTAGCCAATTAAAAGGCAAAGATGTCAGAAAATCAGGAAATACGTCTCCAAATCCTGCTGTCTTCTGCTCCTCACTAAGCTGGCTCATGCCTCTTTCCTGAAACAAGAGCACCAGAGCTTTTTTCATAAGGCATTCATTTATACTAGAGATCACCACAAATGCATTAAAAAAATTAAAGGAACTTGGACTTTAAAACTTTCAAATATCATCTGGCTTTTAGAATCACAATATATCGTATTGCCTCCTCTGTATTGTGATTGATGTCATATAGCCAGTTTCTTGCTAATACACACTCTTCTATTTAGTTAGGCTCTCATGAAACAATCAGTTATATAGAATGTCTCTACTTTAAAATGCAGATGTTCCAGTGTGTCAGTTATCCTCAGACAACCAAAACATTAATGGTTTAAGATGTTTCTTGCTGTATCGTGAATAAGCTAAAGCAACAACGGTGTAAACTTGGAGACTTATAATCATTACCAGAGAGTGGCGGTTTGTGATTCATTGCCTTTACTTTAGTGTTTGTTTTGCCTTCCACTGAAACACTATACCTTTTCATTTTGCATATACAACTCTGCAGAAATATGTGCACTGATAATGGTTTGATGGCTGTATGCGTGTGACTGATTTAATGAGACTCTGGGATCTCAGAAATTCCCACTCCAGGGTTCAAATGGGCAGCACCAACAGGAGAATTCACAATGACTATTTGTTTTTGTTTTGCTTTTGTGTTCCGATGTTGCATGATTTAGATAATGACATGTTCTGGGCTTTCTCCATACGCTTTCCATTATTCTGATTCAGGTTCATGTCAGTGTCATCAAAGGATGCTGTTCCAGAACCGTTACAGCTTTAAAGATGTTTTTATTTTTATGGCTCATTAGTGGATTTCCACAAACCCACTGTATTTGTCTTTTATCAGCGCAGTACAAACCCGTCTCGAGTTAGAAACAAAATTTAAAAATGTGTACATGCATATACGTATATATATATATATATATATATATATATATATATATATATATATATATATATATATATATATATATATATATATATATATATATATATATATATATATATATATATATATATATATATATAAAGTAACCATTTAGTTTTATTTTAATAACCAATGCTGGGTGTGGCAGAGTGAAAAATGAAAAAGTGTTATGCCTAATCAGAAGGACGTAAATGCATGTAAAAATATGAAATGACATCATCGAGTGCCACTAACAATCTATCTGACTTTGTTGGAGAGGAAACGCAGCCCAGAGAGGCCTACAAGGGCTGGATCTAGTAACTTTAAAGTCTCACGTCTGAATAATGATTCTCTAAGGATGGTTCAGAGTG